CTCTCTCTTAAAAAAAAAAAAAGTATTTATCTTCTATAATAAATAACCTTATCTTAACTGTAATTTTTTTCTTGTCATCTCCCCCATATTTCTGTAACTTTTTTAACTTTAACTTTTAGAGCTTAATACATGTTATACAGCTGTATTAAAAAATATTTTTCTCCATATCCTTATTCTTTAATTTTTTTCTATTTTAAAAGGTTTTATGTTAAAAAAACTATATAGGGTGGGGTTGTGGCAACAGGGGTGGAGCACTCGCCTAGCATGTGCGAGGCCCTGGATTCGATCCTCAATACCACATAGAAATAAATAAAATAAAAGTATTGTGTCCAACTACAATTGAAAAACAAATATTAAAAAAAAAGACTAGGGCCTGGGGACATAGTTTAGTTGGTAGAGTGCTTGCCTCGCATACACAAGGCCTTGGGTTCAATCCCCAGCACCACAAAAAAAAAAAACTATATAAACACATCACCGCACGCGGTTTTCCACCTTCACATCTTGTCCTACTGGAAGTACTTAAGGGCAGTAACACATGAAGCTATCCTTTTTTTATGAGAGCAAGACCTTCTGGAATGCCTTCTGAGGGGGCTGCCCGAGGCTGTTTTAAAATTAACTTTTTTTTTCTTTATAAGTAGGAATCCATTCCAAAATAACACTAAAAAGTATAGGAGAATAAATGCATAGACCAGAAATCATCATTTATTATCATTATCAAGTATTCTGTACTGTACATAATTGTATATGCTATACTTTTATGTGACAAGCAGTGCAGTAGGTTTGTGGAGATTTGCATCACCACAGACATGGAACATGGCACTATGATGGTTGTAATGTTAGCTGCTTTGTCATTGGCGGGTAGAAATATTTCAGCTCCAATGTAATGTCAGGAGACCACCATCATATTTGCCATCAAATGTGTTGTTTTGGGGGCTGGGGTGCAGTGGCAGAGCACTTGCCTAGCTCATGTGAGGCTTTGGGTTTGATCATCAGCACTACATAAAAATAAACAAATAAAGTAAAGGCATTCTGTCCATGTACAACTACAAAAAAAAAAATTTGTTGTTGACTGAAGCATTGTTATGTGGTATTTGACTATAGATTATTCCCTCTAAGAGTTTCCACAATACTGTCTACTAAAGCTTTACATTTTTCACCTTGTGTGGTTTGTACACATATCTGAAACTGAGCAAAAAACAAAGAAGCTATTAAGTGTGTTACTCCTTGCATTCACTATACATCATAGAAAAGCTCTGTGCTGTTAGGGATGTGGCTAATGTTCCTTTCAAAAATTATTGAGAGGGCTGGGGATGTGGCTCAAGTGGTAGCGCGCTCGCCTGGCATGCGTGCGGCCCGGGTTCGATCCTCAGCACCACATACAAAGATGTTGTGTCCGCCGAAAACTAAAAAATAAATAAATAAATATTTTAAAAAGTTATTGAGATACCTGTGTACATATCAGCTTACAGAACCTATGTCCATTGCTTATAAATAAAAATGGAATTGTATTTGGTTTTATACAATCTAAGGTTTAAATCTTCACACACTAGCTCTTTGATCTTGGGTGTATTAAATTCTGAGACTAGGTCTACTCCCCTTAAAATAAAGTTAGTAATGAGCTGGGGGTATAGCTCAATGGTAGAGTACTTGCCTGTTATGCACAATGCCCTGGGTTCAATCCCTAGTATCACAAAATAGCAGCAGCAGCAGCTAGTAACTCCTGCCTTGGGTGGCTATTATGAGCATGAAATAGTATAATGCATGTCGCATTTCTGTGTATAGAGCATATAGAAAACAGTTCAGTTTGGTGGCATACTTTTTCCCTTAGCCATCTATCATGAATGTTTTCAGTATTGATAGATCTGTACCAGCATTATTTTAACAGCTATCTAATGCTGATTTCTTGAGCATACTCTGGCAGAGTTTCTCTCTACAAGGCATTTCATTAGTTCTGTGCAGTTTCCTGTTGGCTGCATGCCTCACCATCTAGGTGCCTTTTGTTCTACAGGTGTTAACGGTTTGAGGATGCTGGGGATTCTCCACGATGCAGTTGTATTCCTGATTGAGCAGCTATCTGGTGCCAAGCACTGTCGGAATTATAAATTCCGTTTCCACAAACCTGAGGAGGCCAATGAACCCCCCTTAAACCCTCATGGCTCAGCCAGGGCTGAAGTCCACCTGAGGCAAGTTTCTTTTTTTGTGGAAACAGTTTGGAGTTATCTAATGATACAATTATTTCCCCATGCACTCTGAGATTTCCACTGATGATACCACTGTCTTACATACTACTTTATTAAAGCATTTCTCTAAATATGTTTTGATCTTTTGACTCCAGGAAGTCAGCATTTGACATGTTTAACTTCCTGGCTTCTAAACATCGACAGCCACCTGAATACAACCCAAACGATGAGGAAGAGGAAGAGGTACAGCTAAAGTCAGCTCGGTAAGTCTTACATGGAGAGGGTACCCTTCTTTCCTTTTACCTAAGTGTTTCAGGGCACTGTGTAGTTTTTCATGAATCACAAGTTTCCTGGCTACATTGAAGAAGACTGAAGCAGTAATAGTAACAAGCTAGTAAAGAGAGGAATATAAATTAGAAGAAACTTAATAATTATAAGGTGCATATTTTCTCTCTCTTTTTATTTTTAAAAATATTTATTTTTTAGTTGGACACAATATCTTTATTTTATTTATTTATTTTTATGTGGTGCTGAGGATCGAACCCAGGGCCTTGCACATGCTAGGCGAGTGCTCTACTGCTGA